ATAGCAAATGTTAATCAACAGAAATCACATATTTCAATTTACAATCCGACATCATATTATTATACAGTACCTAAAGGCCTCATACTAGGTACAACAACCGTTCCTACATTATCTTTTAGTAAATGTACATCTATTGATCATCAATTAGTTAATGATAACATCAATAAATTAACTCGACATATTACAGATTCAACATAAAGAGAAGAAAAAGAAACAATCACACACACGAAAGAAATATAGAAATATAAAATATAGATGGCAGGATATAACAGTATCATCACGTTTAAATGTGTTTAAATCTTAGGTCATTACTAAACCCCTTATTCTTGTCTTTAGGGCAGTGAAGATCCTACCTTGATATAATAAGCACGAAGGAAAGATAATTCACAGAACTAACTAAAAGCCAGAAATTGGGGAGAAGTCACGAACAAACATTGAGTTCAAGAATAATGTCATACAGTTTTCTGCATGTTTATTTTTTGATGGAACTCATCGAGCTTCGAACAATTAACCGAGAAATTAGTTAAACTGTTCCATTTGTAATAAAAATTGTTAAGTAACAAACAGAAATAAGTTAAAGTAGAAAACAACACTACTTTAATAATTAAAAAGTGTAGTATCAATCTTTTGCAAAAATCCTTAGTTAGAAAGTTCAACATATTGAACTAATCTTTTGTATTGAGTACCAGTAAACTATGGAGTATGCTTTTATTAATAGAAATATATAATTTTGTAGAGAATATAAAGGCGAATCTTTTGGTAAAAAGATCAATTTCGAAATACTGAGAACTGAATGAGATATTGGCAAAACACTGACACCGCCATTTATTCTGGGCCATCCGTTAAATTACAGTTACGTCATGTATCTTATGTTAAAACGGTAATAAATATTGTTTGAAAGAAATAGAAATAACTTACTCTCAAAAGAATATTTCAATTTTAAACCTAGCCGCCGCCGCCGCCGCCGCCGCACGAGAACTTATAAATATCAGCCGGCGCCGCCGCGGTGTAGAAAAATTTGATCGACTATAGCCGCCGCCGCTGTAGAGCTTACTAATTAAACCCAGTAGTCGCCGCCGCTGGTCAAAAATTGAGAACTGTTGCCCGCCGCCGTCGTTCAACCCCTCGGCTTACACTTTTAGTCGTCGCTCCCGATTAGAGAGCATACACGATAAGGAAAATTAAACAATTAAACGTCTAGGTTTCTAATACGGAACTGGATAAAAATTTACGGTGTTTACTCATCGAAAATACCATCTGCTGCAAAATATTTCCCTTTTTAACGACTTTTTTTCTTGATCGATTTTTTTAGTGGTAGTCGAGAACTTCGATTGGCACCGGAAAACGATCAAAATTTTTATAGCGTTTACATGCGTTTTCTCAACTGACTTGCCTGCTTAGATCAAACTTCAGATCGCAACAATTTACAAGTATCTATTTAGATACACCCGTGGCGTAAATTTCTGCGAAAAAAAACGCGTTCTCAAAACCCGTTTTTCCATAATTGCGAAACGCGATAATGCTGACCGGTTTGACGCGTTTCACATCTGTCAAAACAGACGCTGTGGAACGATTGTTTTTCTAAAGAATTCCGTAGCGTTTTTCAAACTATGGTGTCGTATATTCTAGATGGAAAAAAAACTGAAAACCGTCAATTGCTTCATATACCTTGAGTTGCAGATACAATTCATGTACTCGTTTACATTTTTTCATAGACCTTTAGAACTATAACTTACATGAATTTTAATAAAGTCAAGACATGGATTCAAACACGAGAACATAAGAGTAGAAGACATTTGTACAAATCGTTCAAGTAAAATAATCTAATAGAACAAGTGTTTATTCTATTGTCATTCAGAGTCTTTAAACTTATTTAATTAGATTTTCGATTTCTCTTTCTAATGAATTAAAAATTATCATTTCTTTGTTGCCTATATCAAGTTACGAGTGTGATCTCCTCTTGATATATTTTTAATTTAAACTCTTTTAAATTTAAATTCAAATATCCAACAGAAACGAATTTAGTCGATTTAAATTGTGTTTGATATTTTAAAAATTGAATTTCTTAGATATAAATTTTAAAAAACTTAAAATTTATTCTTTTTTAATTGCCTTCTTGATTTAATAGATTTTTGTAAATGTAAATTCGTCATGCTTATATCCAATTACATCACTAAATGGAAGGAGTTTTCTTTTGTAAGCGAGTCTTTTTCGTTAAAAAGTCACGCTTCTATCAACAATGTAAAAACTAGAATCATATTTAGTAGTATTGTACACAGTATCATCAGTCACTATCAAGTAGTCCAAGTATGAATTCATACTAATAATTATTCAAATTATAAATAACACGAGAATTCATTTGTTCAAAAATAACCAAACCAAGTTGCCTTATTCATTATATTAGTGGTCAGTCTTTACTAAATCTTTTCGAATTGTTCAATTTTTAAAGCAATTCTTGCTTGAACGTTGCGAAACGCGTTTTCTTTCAATAAAAACGTAAAGAAATGAGTTTTCAAAGAAGAATATTTTTTTGTTACACTTTGATATTCAATATTAGCCTAACTTCGAATCAGATTTAGATAGCAGCCTAGCAACCTAAACTTTAAGAAGAATTCAGCTTTAATCTTGCCTTCAAAAAATTTGGATCATGATTTTCATGTCCTAAAATAGTACAGGAAGCAAAACTTTCAAGTGCTATTTCATATCATTTATAAAATAATGTCAAAGAGCTCACTTTGCTTAACTCATATGTTTTGTATGGGTAAATTCTTGCAAGATTCTGTACGCACAGCGGATACATTTTGCATCATTCCGACCAAAAACAAAGCGACACGCGCTTGAGAAAGAAACTTGTTTCACATTTTCCCCAATTTATATCCGTGGAACGCGTCGCCTGTCGACCGAAGTGCGTTCAACAACATTTTACTTAGGAAACGCCTCGAAACGCAATCTCGAAAAAAGCGTTTCGGATCGTTTCAAAAAACGACGGCAGCAAAACGCATTCTATCTAAGTAAGAATGCTGAGAAACACGTTCTGTATTGAAAAAAACGTTGCAAAACGCATGCTACAATCATGGAAACGCGTTACGCAGTCCGTTTCCTTCAATATTTTATTCCATGGGCATCAAAATGATTAATAATTTCTTTTAAATCAATTTTTAATTCTACAGAAAAATTATCCTTTCATCTTTTGATTTCTACTTACAACAATCAAATAATTCAGTACGACCATCAGCTGCTTCTGCTACTACTGATGACTTTGAATCAATAGTAATTAATATCGGTTCTTCTGGTGAATCACTAGTTTTCCAATTGAATTGAACAAAGCCTTCTGTTCTCATATTATGAACTATAAATAAAAAGAAATTTTACAATTAAAAAAAATGTCTTCTCATTTTGTTTTATTTACTTTTTTGATCACTAACAATCTGTACTTGATGAATAGCTTTCTCTGGTTGAACAATAATTGTACCAATTTGATCATTTGCAGCTCTATAATAATAAACTCCTGTTTCTTTAAATTGATGATACATATAACCATGATGTGATGGTTTATATCGCCAAAAAAAAGTTGACTGTTGTTGATTTTCATCAGTAGGAAATGGTTCAATTTGTACAATAGTTTGTTTACATGTAGTATTCCATTCAAATATAACCCAATCATGTTGTTCAATCCAAACAATATTTGGTGGAATATTATCAGTTATTTCTATATATTTTATTTTGTATTTCTCATTAATAACACAGACAATTATATCATGAATTTGATTTGTATCGGTTATACGAAATAAAAATGACATACCATATTCATCAAATGTTTTACTATATGTTCCTTTTGATGATGGTCTAACAGATGTTCGTTCAAGAGTATAAAGACCACCAGATATTGGGCAATATTTTTTTTCTTCAATATAATAAGCAATACCGTGTTCTGATGACCATTTAAGTTCAATGGTATCACCTTTATATAAATAAACTTTTTGATTTTTTTCCCCATCCGTTAAAAAAATTTTCTCTATACGTTTTCTTATTTTAAAGTGATTATCTTCACAATTTTCTGGTGGACATACACCTGTTTTTAATACTGTTTCACGTTGCGATGATGGAATAACGCAAAAATATATGTCAAGTTTAGATTGATTTTGATTAAGATCTAATGAAAGTAACATACGTCTATCAGTTTTTGGTGTACGAGTTGTTATATTAAATAATTTATAACCATTATCTATTGGACAATATTCATCACCATTTTTATATACTTGAAATATATCATATTCACCTTTTTCATGTATTCTAAATTCAATAAGATCTTCACCTACTATATATGTTGGTATTTTAGTAGATCGGCGATTAATTACGTCTATCATATGAATCTTTCTTTTTTGTTCATCACCTGGAATATTATCATTTGGCATATAACGTCGTAATGAAGTCATGAGAGTGTTAACTAAACAATGAAGAAGTATGTAATTTGTATTTTATATAGACTTATTTAAATTCTCAATCAAAAAAGAATACGAACAAAAGAAAGCAGAAAAGATCAATTCGAATATTATAAAAGCATTATTCAATCATTCTGGAACTCGATATGAATTATGAAAAGATAACATCTCGATTTTAAGTCATGGAATTAAATTGTTTTAACTACTGAATAAGACCGATTATCGCTTATTCTTAGAATCGAAATCCAATGTAGCATCTTTATTGAATCGTAAACGAGAAAAAATCTTTCGCTAGTATCCATCAATATTATTTATTCGATTAGTAGATGCTATTATGTCATATAGTACTCAAATTTAGTGTTAAAACACATAAAAATCAGTTTATAGAGAGAAAAGAAAAGGTTGCACTACAGATTCATATGTTTCATCTAATCCCTACATAACAACGAAATTGCGCTTAAAAAGAAAGCCTTTGATCACCTATAAATAATCTCTTTTCCGCTCGTGCAAATAAAGTCCAACGAGGAAACCTCCTCAAATGATAAAAAGCTTTTGAGCTAAAATTTCGTCACCAAGTAGGGGATGCATAGGCTAGAAAAAGTTTAAGAATATATGGATGCAAGTTGCGATTTTCTTGATGAAGGAATATTCCCAGATGATTCTATTCTGTTTGCCGCCATATTTTGCCGATATGGAAGCAAACAGAGCAGATCACCTTGTAATGTTCTCTCGTGAGATATCGACATTTCACTATAATTTTTATACAGAAGCTCATTTTTTCGGCAAAATTAATGTTCGAACTTTGACCTAAAACTTTGCCTACACCAAGGCCTCAATCATACTAGCTTGCCTACAAAGTTTCAGAATTTTTGAATAAATTATCTCCGAAATACCAGTATGCTAGCTTAAAGACGCCTTTTTATGAATATTGTTGTGTTATGTATGGATATTTTGGAAAATTTATATCTCGGAGATAATTTGTTTGAAAATTCTGAAACTTTGTGCGCAAGCTAGTCTGATTGAGATCTTGATGTAGGCAAAGTTTTGGATCAAAATACAAAACTTTGATTTTACCGTAAAAGTGGGATGCTATAGGAAAATTGTAGTAAAAAGCTGATATCTCAGCCACATTGCAACTTGCACCCATATTCTCTTAGGCTTTTACTAGTCTATACATCCCGTACTTGGGGACAAAATTTGAGCTCAAAAGCTTTTTATCACTTTGGAAGATTTCCTCATAAGTCAATTACTTACGTTCTCCCTCTAAAAAATCTTTTGTATAACTTTCTTCTAACAAACAGGCAATGCATAACGAAATCAAACGAAATGAAAAAGGTTATTTAATCGTATTCTTGCAATTAACGATTTTAATCATAGTACATACTAAAAGTGATATAAGAGAGGGCTTTACGAAAGATGCATACGGAACAAAAAGTAAGAGTTTTGAAACAGAATCAATCTCAATCACATCCGCACTCTCATTTGCACTTCTTTCCCTTAGCCAACGTCCTTAGAATCGCCGTGCGCATCTTTCGAAATTCCAAGAGAAAGACCATTATTTCTCTCTTAGTTGTTCATGTAATTTCTGATTCATCTGCAAAAAAAAGGAGAACAAATAAAAATAAATCAAACCTTTAGAGGCCTGTCTTCTGGTTGTTATTTCTCGCCCAGTATCATTTGAAGTATTTTTAGAATTAGCAGTTGGTCTGGCAACAGCTGCACTACCACCCATATCATCAGAATACAAACAAAAGAGATGAATATAAAAAAGTTTTTACCATTCACAATTCTACACTCTAAAAGATGATGAAAAACATTATCACAAAATACAAGAAGATTCAAACAGATGATTACATGTTCGAAGATAGATAAATAAAACAGTTATTTAAAAGCACACAGATGAAAAGAAATTTTCACGCTTTATTTTCAAATTCAATTTATTTTGTATAAAAATAAAACTAAATGAAGGCAAACAAAAATTTCTTCTGTTTCTTCTAATTCCTTGTTAGGTTGTTAGTTCATTGTTCTATTTTGCTCATCGAAGTTGCTAAGCAATAATCGAGTGATTATTTCAATATTTTAAATCCTTCTCATTATATACAAGGTAGCGCTCATCCTATAGATTCGCTGACCCTTTTCTGAAAGATAGGATGGTAATGCTGTTTTTTAAGAAACAATGGTGCTTTAAATCTCACCATAGTCGTTCGATCATAGGCGGTGGAGCGCCATCAATTCAGGAAAGATCCAAGAAATATTTTAAAATGGTAACAAGAAACGGAAAAGTGGTGGTGGTTAACTTTTAGAATTCTTAGTTCTTTTCCTAGAAACCTCTTTGCAGTATTACCAAACCTGTTTTTCTTAGTTTCACCATAAACAGAGCTTCTACATGTAAAATCCTCCCTATATTAAGAGCTCCCGAGGGCTTCTAAACTGTCCAGCGTCCAGAGCTTTTGGAGGAAGCTTCTACTATGTCTCACGATTTTTCGAAGATTTCAAATACAAAAATTTTTTAAAAGTTCCAATCGGTTTTCAGGGTTTTCTCGAGGATTGTTTGAGAGATTTTCAAGGAAAGGACAGGGAACGTTTTGGGTGCATTTCGGCCCAATTAGAAAATGAAGACAGATTGATCTGAAAATTTCCACAAATACTCAATTATGTGTTAGTAGTCATCGCTCAAAATGTCAGCTTGATTGGTTAAACTTTTCCTTTACTTCGACACATCAAAAATATAGACCCTAAATATACGTAAAAACACCGTGTAGGGGTAATCTTGTGGACCTTCATTCTTCACTATACGGTTCAGACCCAGAGTGATTTTTCTAGGGTCACTAGGAATCAGTAGGAGCTACAGTATCGCAAGGACAATAGACCCAGAAAAACTTGCCTTGGTATCACTATGAAGTATACAATCCGAAAAGTGCATGAGAAAGCCCTATATAGGTAATCTTGTGGACCTTCGTTCTTCACCATTTGATTCAAACGAGGAGTGACTTTTCTGAGTGTGAGGTGTTAGCACCGATGTGGCTTGGATGTGCGTGTAGAGATGGACATGGAATTGGTGTTCCTGTAGTGATAGAGAAGACGTACATCCAGACTCACTCGTATCCAAACAGCAAAAATACTTAAAGCCGATCCCACTCCTGTCCCCCACCAGCAGTTCCCACAGTCAACATCCACATCCAAACTCACGATTATCACTTACAAAAATATTATCCTTCAAAATGGATTGATAAAGTAACATCCAAATTCGGATGCCACATCAGCCAACCCAATACTTCAAACCCCATACAATGTACTACGATTGATAATCATTCGATGACACTGACTAGTGCACCCTCATGATAACTTAGCACATCCTTCCTTACACAGTGGATATCTACATAGTTCTCTTAGTTAGTGATTTACCGTGTCGGACGTTCTTAACATTGAGACAGCTCCTATAAAAATATTTCGAAGTCTGACTCCAATACTGCCGCACAAATGTATCCAATGTTTCCTCTATGTTAATTTTCACTTCTAATTTAAATCCTATGTACATTATCGTGATATCCCAGCACCTTTTACTCAGCCTCAAGTGTGTGCGATACCATAGTCCATACTCTCTAAAAAAAAGGAGTTTTTCAGAACCCCCCGAAAAGGTTCTGTAGATTTCTAAAAGCATTCAAATGTGTCCAAAGTCTCAAAAAAAGCATAAAAAATTCGACAGAACCTTTTGGAGGTTTTACGGAGTACCCACTAGCAGAACCATCTCTTACGAAACCTTTTTTTAAGTTCTGTACAGCAAAAAAAGGTTTTCGTGAGAAAATACGAAACCTTGAGGGTTCAGTACAAAACCATTAGGGTTTCGTGCCAAAGGTTAATAGTTTTGTACTGAACCCTCAAGGTTTTGTATTTTCTCACGAAACCTTTTTTTACTGCACAGAACATAAAAAAAAGGTTTCGTAAGAGATGGTTCTGCTAGTGGGTACTCCGCAGAACCTTCAAAAGGTTCTGTCGAATTTTTTACCCTTGTTTTGAGACTTTGAACACATTTGGATGCTTTTAGAAATCTGCATAACCTTTTTAGGGTGTTCTGCAAAACCCCTTTTTTTTTACAGAGTACTGATTGCTAGTGATTCTGAAAAATTACTCTGCATCCGAATCACATAGTGGAGAACGAAAGGCGTGGGGTGTGGGTGTTAGTTTGGATGTCGGGTGGTATGGGTAGGACGGGTGTCGGTGTGAGTCTTCTCTGGACTTACATATCCACCCATATCCACACTAGAGACAGGCTGAACTGTGTCTATATTTTCGGAAGAGTTTTCAACAGCATAATAAAAAGCTGAATAAATAATTGGTTTTCGGAAAAATATTGAAACTTTTGCCGCTTTCAACCAATCGCGATCATAAATACTAAGTCGCATGTACAATTTTTTGTATAACAGCACAGAGAATGAACAAACAAATAAAATTTTCTGATTTTTTCATATTTCTCTTACTCCAGACTGTCAAGAAACAAAAAGATGGATGGTTTGACACATAGAGACTTACATTGTAACGCATTAAAGAAATAATTTCTTTCAAAAATAAAAAAGTTTGAAAATGTATACTCTCATTACTATACCTTGTTCACTTAAAAATCTTTTCTTTTTGCGCGTTAAAATATGCATTCTTTATGCGCGAAAATATCGCTGTTTCGTTGCGTATCCGACTATCAGTAGTGTCTGAATTCCGTACTCTTGAGGAATTCTTGAAGTCAAACATTATTTAATACGTACGAGCAGTAAGAAACTACAGCATAAGGTAGTGTAAAGAAATACAAGAATCCCAAAGAATTCAAGGAATTCGAGGATCCCGAGGAATTCATGGATCCAAAGGAATTCATGCATTCCAAGGAAGCCAAGGATACCACGCAATTCATAGATCCCAAGGAAGCCACGGATCCCAAGGAAGCCAAGGAAGCCAAGGAAGCCAAGGAAGCCAAGGAAGCCAAGGA